TCTAACCACTTCAGGCAGGGCCATTCATTCCCAGGTAAATATTTAACTAGTTTCCTATCTTTCTTGCCGATGAATAGCAATAGCAGTTAGACTTATATACCACTTCATAGGGCTTTCAGCCCTCTCTAAGCGGTTTACAGAGTCAGCATATTGCCCCCAACAATCCAGGTCCTCATTTCACCCACCTCGGAAGGATGGAAGGCTGAGTCAACCCTGAGCCGGTGAGATTAGAACTGCTGAACTGCAGATAACAGTCAGCTGAAGTGGCCTGCAGTACTGCACCCTAACCACTGCACCACCTCCTTCCATAATAATTACAAAACTCAAATAGGAATTATAGATTTGCACTTCTTAAGCTAGAGTATCACCTGAAAAATACATTGTTGAAGACTAAAACAGGGTACGAAAAGGAGTTCTTACTTGATATAAAATGTACATATGCTGAATCACATGGGTAAACAGATATAAAATATCTTATAATTTTAAAAAGGTAGTTTGTAACTCAACATAATGAAGGGTATGACATCTAGGATAGACAAATTCTATGCAAAAGAGGATGTAAAGAGTTGTCCCCAAACTTTGCCAGTAAAAAGCAAAGTCAGAGAGATGGGTAGAGTGTCATTGTTCCAAGTAACACCCCCAACAAAAGACAACTCGGAGGCTTGAGTTTCCTCAAAGTTCCATTTTATTAGAAATGTCCTACTGGCACATCTGGGAAAACCTGAATCTGAAAGTTTCCAGGTTTTCCCCACCCCAAAGAAAGTGCAAGTCCCTGCCCAGCACCCACATGTCCATCACATAGTCCATGCAGGCACCATCCAAAACTCAAGGTGCTTCCCAGTCACCTCAACGCAGCTGCAGGGCAAGGTGGCCTTGACTCTCTGAGAAAGAATGTTATTTTGGCTACATATCACCCATACTCTGTATAATCCCCCCTTCCATTTTTCCATAGTAGAAAATGTGGCAGGCCTGAAGTCCCAAAGGTAAAATATGGCTTCCAGGACTGTCATAAGAGTTTCAAGGAAAACAAGGTCCAGTGTTCTCATCAATAATTCTATCCTAGTATCTTGGTCGCCCAAAACATATCAGCTGCTAGATTCACAGTGTTTCTCAACCTTGGCAACTTTAAGTCCTGTGGACTTCAACTCACAGAATCCCCCAGCCGGCTGGCTGGGGAATTCTGGGAGTTGAAGTCCACAGGACTTAAAGTTGCCAAGGTTGAGAAACACTGTGCTAGAAAGTAATGGGGTACTTAAAATCCATACAGGTAGTCCGCGACTTACAACAATCCATTTAGTGACTATTCAAAGTCACAACAGCACTGAAAAAAATGTGACTTGTGATCATGTTTCACCATTATGACCTTTTGCACCTTCCCCATGACCCTGGGGTCAGAGTTCAGACGCTTGGCAACTGGTTCATATTTATGGCCATTACTGTGTCCCTTCTGTTGTGACCTTCTCACAGCCAGTCCATGGGAAGGTCAGATTCCCTTAACAAGCGGGTTACTAGTTTATCAACTGCAGTGATTCAGTTAATAAGTGTGGCAAGATTTCTCATTTAACAACAGAACTTTTGGGCTCAACTGTGGGTCGTAAGTCAAGGACTATCTGTATTCAACAATGGATGGAGAGAGGGGGGGAAGGAGAACAATATTCACTCTCTTAAATAAATTTGCAGAAACTAGTATTATGCTGAGGAAGAGATATACACTCCCATTTGTAATTTGTTTTTCTGATTCGGGGGGGGGGGGAACCATCTTGAACTTAAATTCTGGAAATCAGGATACTGCTATTTACTGCAGAGACTTTTGAGCAGGACAGAAAAACACCCCCACACACCCTTTCATTAAGGCTCTTTGCCTGCCACCCAGTGGTTATACTGAAATATAGAAAGCCTAACAAAATGATTTTTTAGGATGCCTTCAAGTCAGTTCTAGGGACGCGGTGGCTCCCTGGCTAAGACGCTGAGCTTGTCGATCAGAAAGGTCGGCAGTTCAGCGGTTCAAATCCTTAGTGCTGCATAATGGAGTGAGCTCCTGTTACTTGTCCCAGCTTCTGGCAACCTAGCAGTTCGAAAGCATGTAAAAATGCAGGTAGAAAAATAGGGACCACCTTTGGTGGGAAGGCAACAGCATTCTGTGTGCCTTCGGCATTTAGTCATGCCGGCCATATTACCATGGAGATGTCTTCGGAAAGTGCTGGCTCTTCAGCTTTGAAATGGAGATCAGCAACATCCCCTAGAGTCAGGAATGACTAGCACATATGTGTGAGGGGAACCTTTACCTTTAACTTTACCAAGTTAGTGCTGATTCCCCGAGACTGCATGGACAAGTCCCTCCTAGGGCTGGGAGAAAATGACTAATTCAAGGTCATCCATCTGGCTTTATGCTTATGATNGATAGATAGATAGATAGATAGATAGATAGATAGATAGATAGATAGATAGACAGAGACAGAGAGAGAGACAGAGAGAGAGACAGAGAGAGGGAGGTAGATAGGTATCCCTATATTTATACCATATTATTGTTCTTAGAAAACTCTGTGTTGTCTTTTCTGAGACCCGCATCTAGCAATAGTGTTGTTTTCCTGAAATTCTATATATTATTTTTATTTATTCAAATGATGTCATAGTTTGGAATCTGAATATAACTATACTGCTATTATTCAGGAAGTAAGAGTTAATACTAAAAAAAGCATGCTAAATTGTGGGCTGTTTATTCAACTTGATTGGTAGTTTAAAAGTGCATTATAAAATTGTAATCTTTAATATGCTTTCTATAGGGCCTCCCATGATACATATCACTTCAGCAACAAAAGGTAAGTTCTTGAATAAACAACTGCTTGAAATCCTGCATTTAACTATGCATGTTGAGCAAGTGAAAATATTTTAAAAGTTGTTATCAGTGTCTTGATCCGCCAATGATTGCATTAAAGGCTTTACTATATTTCTAAAAAAATCTGTTATTGGTGGATACTGTTTCAAGTGTAAATTAATACGCTCCTCAAAACACAGACAGGCAATCATTTGCTGCTGGGGAAAGCATCTTTTAAAAATTAATATTGTTCTGTGGCAATGATTTTATCAAAATAATCAGTCCTCAAATTTGTTGTTGATTATTCCCTTTTAGGCAAAGATTGGCTCACAACTAAAATCTTTAAACTCTGATCTCCCACATCGTTGTCCAGTATTCTACCTTGGGGATGGGGAACATGCACGGAGAACAATTTACATTGAACAGTGCATGGGTGCGCAGCGCGAGCCTGACACACATGGGTTGCGAACCAGTAGTAAAACCGGCAGCAACCCATCCCTGTACCAGGCATATTTTTTTTCTTTACCTCATTTAGTAGAAAACACACCTGTTTCTACAAGGCATTTTTATAGTAGATCCACAAAGCTAGTGGGTACTCATGGAATAAAGGAAAAGCGAAGTACAATAATAGGCTGAAGATAGTGTGAAGAGAAATTGCCCCAACACCTGATCAAAGCCCATTTTTATATGCATCACAAGGAGATTTCAATTTTTTTAAAGCCCTCCATGCTGCAGACACTTCTGTTAAGTTTGGAATAAGATCCTGTCAGGCTTCCATGTAATACATCCAGCCAAGTAAGACTCCGAAGCAGGCATTTCCTCAAAGTTCAAATTTATTACAGATGTCATATTGACACATCTAGGAAGTCCCCCAGGTGTTCCCCACCCAAAGGAAAGTCAAAGTCTCTTTCCCTGCACCCCCATGTGCATCACATGGTCCCTGCACCCCCATGTCCATCACATGGTTCAATCAAGTCACCATCCTAACTGGAGTTGTTTCCCAATCATGCCTCTCCAGGTGCAAGCTGAACATCATAGATGGTATTCAGCAGGTTCTGACCAGTTCTGGAGAANACCATGGAGATGTCTTCGGAAAGTGCTGGCTCTTCAGCTTTGAAATGGAGATCAGCAACATCCCCTAGAGTCAGGAATGACTAGCACATATGTGTGAGGGGAACCTTTACCTTTAACTTTACCAAGTTAGTGCTGATTCCCCGAGACTGCATGGACAAGTCCCTCCTAGGGCTGGGAGAAAATGACTAATTCAAGGTCATCCATCTGGCTTTATGCTTATGATAGTACTAGAACTAAGGTTTTGAAGAATCCTCAATGAAGATATCAAAGGTGGTTTGGAAAGATGTTTTATATTTCATATTTTATATTTTAATTTCATATTTTATACCTACTCTTAAGATGTGCATGTATCATAAGGTATATGAAATAAAATAAATACTTTCATTACATACAGGTATAATTTTGCCAGTTGTCATTGCCCTAATAGTAATAAGTGTCATCGTATTCCTTTTAATGGCACTGTACCGAATGTGCTTGAAGACAACGCCAGGTATGTATGTATTCTGTAAAAATTAAAGTGTATATATGACATAATGAAATGCACAGACATAGGATGAGGGTATCTGGCTTTGCTTTAAAGTATTTGAGAAAGTATTTTAGATGCCAACTGAACATTAAAGAAATAGTTTCCAGATTTTGTGAAATATTTTTTTTTTCTAATTGGTTCTACTTTGGTGGGTTCCCATCACAAATATGTCATGTAGTTCTGCATGTATTGCTTTTAAGATACAATTCATTCATGGAACAGGTTCAGAGATAGTAAAAAGAATGATCAATACACTTGAAACTATAGGTGCTAACAATATTTAGAATAGAATAGAATAGAATAGAACAGAACTTAGCCATGAGTAAGAAGATCAAGGAACTACATTATAGCTGAGAGATTATAATGGGGAAGATAAAAACTGTTCTTAATTGTTGCAGAATATAAGACATAGGACAATGTGTTCCATGACATACTAGGAAACCATCTGTTGGGGATCCTTTACTCTGGATTCCTGCATAGAGGAGGAAGTTGGATTCAGTGAAAGGCCCTTTCATGTCTAGTAGTTTCAGGTTTTATTTGCTTAAAGCTAACCTGATCTCTCTTAAAGTCCTTCTGAAATTAGGTGATCTAGAACCCTAAAGCTAAAGTTCATGAGCCTCGGTGGCACAGTGGTTAGAGTGCAGTACTGCAGGCTACTTCTGCTGACTGCCTGCAATTTGGCAGTTCACATCTCACCCGGCTCAAGGTTGACTCAGCCTTCCATCCTTCCGAGGTGGGTAAAATGAGGACCCAGATTGTTGGGGGCAATAGGCTGACCCTATAAACCTCTTAGAGAAGGCTGTAAAGTAGTATATAAGTGTAAGTGCTATTGCTATCCTACAAACTCTTAAGGGTACATCCTCATTGCCCAACCAACCTACTCTTAAGAGATCTGCTAGAAAAGCTTCCTTATAAAGATATAGAAACTGAACAGTAGCATCTGTTACTAAAGATTGCTGGGTGTATCACGTGCTTCACAGATTAGATTTCAGTTGCTGATACTATTTACAAGAACAACTGTTAAAAAAATGGACCAGAATTAAACAATTGGAATCAGTTCTAAACCTTCTTAGAATAAATTATAATTAGATTCAAATTGCTTCAGAATATTCATCTATAAAACCTTTGAAAATTATTACTGTTTTTAGACCACACTCAGTTTTTGTATTTCAAGAGTCTCTATATAAGAAGAACAAAAAACCGTGATAGATACAAGGAAAAGGTCTGTGACATATCATGTAGAACTAGAAATGTAGAAAGATGATGTGATTTATCATGGTGGACTAGAAAGATAATGTGAATTTAAATTCCTTCCAGAGAGGCAAGAGAATGGAACTGAACAGTAAGTTTTTTTTTCCCTTTTCTTCCATCCACTTTGCTCATTTATGTTAAAACACGTTAAACATGTTAGCTTACAGTTTCTTTAACGACCCAATTTTGAAAAGAGTGGTGCTATTCACCTGACCTTCTAGTCTTCTACATTTATCATTCAACAGTCAAGTCTCATTTCTTCCAGATGAATGTAATTTTGAGAGTGAAAAGGTAGAGTGTGGGAATTAAAATTACATAACTTGCATGCAGATACTCTGTGGAGTTTCAAGTCAGCTGCAATCTCTCTCATCTGTACTTTGATTTACAGTATGTGACCAAGCTTCACTCATAGTCATTATTCTACTTGGTGCAGCAATAACATTTCCTTAAAAACTTTTTTAACCCACCCACCCCCAACATCCCTCAGGAAATGTAACTTTCTGGAATTTCATCCAAATATTTTATTGTCTGTGTCTATATGTAACACAAAAGGGATGTGATGGCTCAGTGACTAAGATGCTGAGATAAAAGGTCATTAGTTCGGCGGTTCGAATCCCTAGCACCGCATAATGGAGTAAGCTCCCGTTACTTGTCCCAGCTTCTGCCAACCTAACAGTTCAAAAGCATGTAAAAATGCAAGTAGAAAAACAGGAACTACCTTTGGTGGAAAGGTAAGAGCGTTCCATGTGCCTTTGGCATTTAGTCATACTGGCCACATGACCACAGAGATGTCTTCGGACAGCGCTGGCTCTTCAGCTTTGAAATGGAGATGAGCACCACCCCTAGAGTTGGAAATGACTAGCACATATGTGCGAGGGGAACCTTTACCTTTTATATATACCTCACAGGGTTGTTGTGGGGAAAATGGGAAGAAGAAGCAGTTTTAGATATATTCACCACTTTATTTGTAAAAATAATAATGGTGGGATATGAATAAATAAATAAGCAAATAAGTAAATAAATAGGACCACTGCAATTTAGTTGTAGGATTTATAAGGATACGAAAACAGATTATTACTATTAATCTTTGTAAGGATACAAAAAACAGATTATTACTATTATTTGCAACTGAAGAAGTTATCCAGAGTTGCTTTGAGATAGGTGACACATATATTTAATAGAAGAGAATTTTATCACTCTCTTTGTTGGTATTCACCCCCATCTGTAAGAAAATGCTGGAGAATTTGTCTCCCCACTTTGTCATTGAAAGAATTCACAAAAACTATCCCATTTCTCAAGCCACAGATAAACAGATTTTCAAGGAATTCCTTTGCACAACTTTAGTTATAGCAGTAAACTGCTTAAATTATATTACTGGCCCAGCACTATCACCATACCATTATTTTGACTCTAAAATTTCAGGATGAGAGCAGTTGAGATAATTGACTTCTTCATTGTCTTAAAAACAGCCTGTCAATGAGGGCATGATTCTTTGGTAATTTGCCAAAGATGTTTAGTGATTCTAAAGTTGTTGCCAGGCCATCTGAATGCATTTATTGTACATTTTACCCTGAATTTTAAGAACACCAGAAAGCACATCCATTTCTATAACAATTTTTATCTTGTCCAGACCTGGGCTTATTCTTTCTTTGTTTGGATACTGATCCAAAAATTCAAATTTGCACAAACCTAAGTGCAATTGTTTTAATTAAACTGTTGATTTGCTAATCCAGGTAGATGTCTCTGAAAGTTTCAGCGTGGCCTTTACTGTTGACCCACATACCAATCTGACATCTGTAACAACAATTATGCCATTTTTGAAATCCTCTTTGAGCTCATTCATTTACCTCTGGAAAATCTTCAAGACAATCTTTTAAAACTCTATTCTCCAAATGAGGTAATGAATATATTGTGCTTGGCTTGGCTTTCAACTAAGTTTGGGTTTTATCCCCACTCCCCAGCCCTGCCCAGAGCTGCGGTTTTATGTAATATTGACAAAGAAAGTGCATAAATGTGACCATGATCTGTTACTGGAATTATTTATATTTAGGAAAGTCAGATGCAAGTTGCTACGGCTTTCCAAAACTCCTCAGGTTGCAATCTAATGCTTTTCAAATAAATGCAGTCTGAATTCCTCTGAATTAAATGATTCTTCTCAATAAATCTATGTTGGAACAGATCATCTCCTACTTCCCATTGGGAGCAAGATATAATCCTCTGTCTTTTTATGCTGGCCTTGGAAATAGGAATTTGGTTTTTCTAAAAAAAAAAAAATTTCTGGAATAGAAGCCAGATTTAGGGTTTTTTTGCTAGGTGTTTTTTGTTTTTCCAATCCAGCACAGAAATCCAATCAGTTGCCCACAAAGAAAGAAAGAAATTTCCTGACACATTCACTCCAGGGAGGACAAGCAAGGTTACAGAGATAACAAGACATCCCAGGACCTTTCTAGTAGGAAAAGGGAGAAATTAACTCAATACACGTTTAATGAAAACATACCTAATTTCACTTTTTTTTAACCAATATGCAGAATCAAATTTTCTAATACAATTTCTCATTATTTAAAATGAATACATTAGAAAAAAGACGCCAATCAAATATATATTCAGGTTCATGGAAACCGTATACAATCTGACTTACATTGTGAAAATTATTTGTATTAAAGAAAAGTAGGCATGTACATCAAAATACACAAGAATTTCCCAGGTTCAGTGAATTGGACTTGAACTGAAGCTGAGAAGGACCAAATGGAACATATCTGCAAAAACGTGAAGCATTGATGGCATTGCCCATTCCTATGGCGGCTTACTTGCATTTCTTATTTTAGACAAAATGGGGCAATGGACAATAGACAAAATGGGGCAATGGACAATAGTGTGCAATTGCAGCCGCTCAATGGTAGTGGCTTTGTGGTTCCTCCCGAATTGCCAAGCCATTTGCAGCTCAGTGTCCATCTGGCTCACTTGGATTCTCCAGAGTGACCTGCTGCTATTAGACATGATAAAGGATGCTACAGTCCTCAGCTTCCTTACCAAGTACCCAACCACAATTAGGTACTTGGGATGGGAACCTCTGCTGCTAAGTGCTGCAGTCATTAAGCAAGTCACACCTGATTTTGTGACCTTTATTCCCTGGTTGTTAAGTAACATATGTGGTCATAAAGTGAATCTGGCTTTCCCCATTGACTTTGCCTGTTGGAAGCTTCCTGGTAAGTTTCTAAATGGCAATTATGACACGTAACTGTCATAAATATGTACCAGTTGCCAAGTACAGGAATTTTGACCACAGGGACACTACAACAGTCATAAGCGCAAGGACTTATCATAAGTCAAGTCTTTTTCAGCACAGCTATAATTTGGAAGAGTGATTAAATGGATAGTCATAAGTTGAGAACTATCTGTATTCCATCACCATGGTTGAAGTAAATCAGCCTTGGTAGTTCAGTCTCCTATAAAAGGAACGAGAGTAAACAAAATGTGAGGATAAGATGTCAGAGAAGAAGCAAAGCTAGACAGGAAAAGCTTCATGTTAGATCCTGCCAACAGTCTATCAGTTCTCCTGTCCTGTATCATCCTATATCCACTTTCATATCATGTATCCTTTGCCATCATGAGACATTTGTCAATCATGCAACACCTCCCAACAGAGCCCCTTCGGATAAAGAGAATGTGAAACTCATTTCTGTTAAGACAACTTCTTCAGACTCAGGTAAGTCATTCTTATTCATTACTGGTCAGGTTGAGAAGTAAGACCAAGCTTTTAAGCATTCAGTCGGAGTTAAACAGATTAAACTATTAGGCCTGCATTTATAGGAAAGGCTATACTTGCTTGAAAAAGATTGGAACCTTGTATGAAACTAGCACATGTCTACTATTCATTAAACCAACCCAGATAGTTTGGGGCTTCTTCACAAGTGCGGAATAAAAGAGGCCACTGCTTTCAAGAGCCTTAATGTAAATGAGAAGGACCCACTGACTTTTTAAAGGCTCTGAATCCAGTTGGGCTACTTTAATAAATAGTATTAAAGGTGCTCTGCTCATACAAACCTAATACACTTCTTCCAATTCTTCAAAAAATGCACAGCCCTAACAATCTGAAGGCTTCTCTAAATGAAAGATGCATGGACAAAATGATACCAAAAAAATTGTTCAGAATACTTGATACCCCATTTGGATATGATTATGCCTCTCATGTAAGTTTTAGCCATTTTCTGGAAAACAGAACAGCAAAAAAAATGCTTGGGGCCTTCTTCTAAATCGGGCGTGAAACTCAACGCCCATGGGCTGCAACCAGCCTGTGGGTGCTTAGATCTGGCCCCTAAGGCCACCCTGGAAAAGGCAAAGGAATGGCCCCATTTTCAGCCACGGCCCTCCCGGGCCCCATTTATAATGAGATTATAATGAGAGTGAGGGAGGGTCTGAGGGAAGTCCTGTCTTAGCATTTGGCCACTACAGGTGCCCCCCCCCCGACACGAATTATGTTGACCTGGCCACACCCACTCTGGCCACGCCCATTCCATCCCTGCAAAGTTCATAAACACAACCCTGATGCGGCCCTCAATGAAATCGAGTTTGACACCCTAGATTTCAGAAAACAGTTTGAAAACCACAAGTATGAAATTATCAAACTGTTTTTAGACATAATATTTTCAGACTTGGCGTAAAAGAAAGATAACATTGACAGTTTTTTAAAAAAGTAATAAATGGAAAAGAGAGCTTCTGGGCCTCAGAAGGCTTCTAAATTTTCCAATCTGACTCTAAAGTTTTCTTCTGCTGAGCAAATGCTTAGTAAACCCATTACTGAGCCGTGTTGTATGCACACTATATTTGGAATACGTCTGAGCCATTGGCACTTTAGGAAACGTTTTTCTTTTTCTCTTCCCTCTCACACTAGTTAATTTGATTCATATTTAATACACTTTTTGCAGTTGGCTTTTCAAAACTTTAATGCACTTTCAGTTCACACATTTCCATAAGTATGAAATCCACTTTGCCCTTTCTGATCTTGTGAAATATTCAGTTTTTAAAAAGCCCAAGAAGTAAAAAAAAAATTCTCTTAAATCTCCAAATCTCCCCTGAGATTTTTCTCTTATACATGTAATCACATTTACCTTTTATCCAACTTTTCTGAAGGAAATGAGCCTCCCTCTTTCAGATGTCAAAACTGAGCATCCAGGGAACAGCTGTTTTATGAAACAGAAATGCAAGAAAGATGGGCAACAATATTATAGTCTGATGGGAACAGATGTGGCATGTAACGGGAAAATAAGATTGTTTCACCATAGCTGAGGATTATTTCTACACTGATTAAAATAATTCCTCTTTGGTGCAAAATAACTTGGATTTAATTAGCAAAGTCATCTTCAGGTTGAAGAGCAACCTCTTCAGCTGTTAACTTTGGTTCCCAGCATTTTAAAAGTAGAACTATCATTGTTCTGAATTTCAAAAGTTAAAAGTCAGGGTATGGGGAGAGGGACTTCAGGCTGTGGAAACTACTGTATATATTAAAGTACACAGTGGCCCCTTAACCAGGGGTGGAATGCTACCGGTTCAGTTTAAAAATGCTACCAGTTCGGGGGGGGAACCAGTATTTCCGACAATCAGCTAGGCGACGATCAGCTGTGACGCGCAATTTATATTAGGTAGAATCTTCAGATTTCCTGCTTTCTAGCTAATATAAATCGGGTAGCACAGTGGATTCCCCCTCACTGTTCTACTTACTTTTGCAGACTCGGAAGGCTTCAAAATGTTATTTTTTTAGTGCTGCATGGGCGCGCTTCAAACACGCCCTTCAGAGCGCATGCTCGGTAGCAGATTTCAGAGGATTTTACTGCTGCCCTTAACTACAATTACAAACTACAATACTCCAGTCTATTTCCCCTTGACTGATCTTAGAAGCCCATATTGAGAGAGAAAAAGCATTGCAATCCAGCTCCACTTTCCCTGTTAATAATCCAGTTTATTATGGAGTGTAGATTCTGTATTCTGTAATTCAACAGATCAACAGATCAATGATGCTTAGTAGTTTTTGAAAGCTTTTGAAATTTTGCAAAATTCTATTTTAGCATGATGTTTGTATTCTGTTTTTCATCTCCTGCGTATTTTAAACCACTGCTGTTCCCCATTAATCTTTATTTTCCTTCTGGGCTAGGCATGTTCAGTTTCTTGACCCTTTCCTCCTATGACTTGCCTTTAGGCATGTCATTACCTTTGGAATCCTTCAAACCAGTGTGAGTACTCCCATTGGTTATCAGATGGCAGCCTAAAGACTGCAGTACTTCCCAATGGGCTTAGAAGAGTGATTTCAATGGGTTCCCTTTGAGTTGGGATTAAGTTGCTTCTGGGTTGGGAGTCATCAAATTGGTGGGATATATATCCCAGCCTCTTCCTGAGTAGTGATGTGGGATATTTCTATATTTAAGCAAAATAATTTAGGTGGGTTTTTTCCCCTTACAATCTTAAATGAGTACCTGTTCTTATTACTCAGTTGCGTATGAATGTGCCTTGTGGCTCTGCTAGATTAACATATAATATGTTCTGAGCGAGGCTTCCCAAGAGCATGAAACAAACTCCTTGTCCCGGCAAAACCCCCTTTTACTAATTTACAGTGAATGCTGCTCATTCACAGCCGGCAAAGTCTTTCAAAAGAGGATTTATGGTCACAGACCTTATCTGACTTAGAGAGCTGNTCATTCATTAGCTAACTGAAATTTCATAGTTCCATATTTATTTTGAATATAATCAGTCCATCTTCTCCATTCCATCTTGTATTTCTCATCTGAATAGTCCTTAAGGTATGCTGATATTTTAGCCATCTCTGCTAAGTTTGTTACTTTTAATGTCCATTCTTGAATAGTAGGAATTCTTCCGTCTTCCAGTACTGCGCCACCAACAATCTTGCTGCCGTTGTTAAATAAATGTTGCTTTTACTGTTAATCTAAACATTATTATGCTTCAGGACATAAAACATGAAGCCTAATATATATTTATAAATAATGTTGTTGCATAAAGTCAACAATCATGGCACCCTATAGATCCCGCCCTGGAAACAATGAAGGACCAGCCCATGGTGGTCCTGCCAGTGAAAATGGAGCTCAGGAGGGCCATGTGCAGTCTGCCTGGGCTCTGCTTTTGGCTGCAATGGCCTCCTGCAGCCCTCTGCCAATGAAAATTAAGCTTGGGCAGATCTCACACAACATGTCCATTTTTGGCCACAACAGCTTCCTGTAGCCCTCTACCAGTGAAAATGGAGCCCAGGTGGATTGTGAGCAGCCTCCTCAAGCTCCATTTCCACTGGCAAAGGGTGCAGGAGGTTGTCGCAGCCAAAAATGGATCCTTGATGAATGATGTTGAGCTGGTCAGGCCACCAGCCCCCCACACACACACACACACATACACCCTGAGGTAAAGCACAAGCCTGATGCAACCCTCAATGAAATAGAGTTTGACACCCCTGCCATAGATAGTACTACTAGAAAGAGTAACGTAAGTTCTATTTCCAAGTAATGCTACAATGTTTTTTGTAGAGGAAAAAACATGGATGTCACTGATCTATTTACTCCCAGAAATTCTAGTTGCCAGAATCAAAGTTGAAAAATGCTTCACAATTATAGGACTTTCTCAATGTTGTGGTCATTATTGTTCAGTTGACTCTTCATTTTCACTGTGTCGATGACACTTTCTAACCATCTCATCCTCTGCCTTCCCCTTTGCCTTTTCTCTTCAATCTTTCCCAACATTTGGGCCTTTTCCAATGGCTCTTCTCTTCTCATTTGGTGGTCAAAATATTTGCACTTTACTTCAGCATCAGCATTTGGAAGAAGAAAGTCAGGGTTACGTCTTCCTCATGGTCCAACTCTCACAGCCATGCATTGCTACTGGGAAAACCATAGCTTTGACTATACGGGCCTTTGTCAGCAAGGTAATGTCTCTGCTTTTGGGTATGTTGCAATGAACTTGGAGTCCATGAAAATAAAATCTATCACTGCTTCCATTTCTTCCCCTTCTATTTGTCAGGAAATGATGGTGGGATTCAGCCAGTTCACACCACTTCGGGAGAACCGGTTGTTAACTTTCTGAGCAGTTTGGTGAACTGGTTGTTGGAAGAAATCATTTGGGCAGAGAACTGGTTGTTAAATTATTTGAATCCCACCACTGGACCAGCTGTCCTGACTTTGAGCTGCATAAGCTACTTCGCCATGATAAGGCAGTGATCTTTGAACAGGAAGAACTATCCATACATACCATATTTTTTGNGATAGATAGATAGATAGATAGATAGATAGATAGATAGATAGATAGATAGATAGATAGATAGATAGATAGATAGATAGATAGATAGATGTGGGTGGATAGACAAATGGATAGACAGATGGATGAATAGATGGATGAGTGGATGGATAGAAGGATGGTTGGTGGATAGACTAATGGATGGATAGATGGATGGATGGATAGATGGATGGCTGGATGGATAGATGGATAGACTGATGGACGGATGGATGGATAGATGGATGGATGGATAGAGAGATGGATGGATAGACAAATGTATAGACAGATAGAGGGCAATGACAATTAGGAAAAAGGGATATTTCTACATTCTTCTTTTAGAAACTTCCATTGGTTTCCTTTGGCGGATGTATGATCTCTGCAAGATTAGCCTGAGGGAATCTGTCATTTGAGAGATGCAATGTTCCTTAAATGTTCCTTAATCCCAAATGAAACAGTATCACCTTTCCAAGCAACTAATTGCCTGCTAATTAAGATTCTCAAATAGCTTTGAAATTGAAGACTAATAATGCAAATTATTTTAGTTTTTGCACCCTAAAAGTCAGTCTATTTGATGTAGTAAAGCCAAAATCATCTTGTAATACAAACACCTCAAAACGTTCCTTCATTTCAGATGTGAAGAATTCCTGTTTCATTCTAGAAACCACCGAACAAAGTTGGATTTTCTTGATGTGAATCAAAAGCATCTATGCATCACTGGAAAAAAAACCGGTTTGCTTCATTTCTCTGTAATTTTGCCATGTTGTCATGTTGTTTTTCTATGCCCTGCTGTTTATCTCTAAAAAGAATTTTGTAGTTTTTTTTCTCTCTTTCAGTCCATTCCTCTACAAGACCTATTTATTGCTTTCCATGTATGTAAGGCAGAGGAAAAAAAATTGCATATTGTAAAACTATATAAAAATGCACTTGACCTTTGCCAATTCTGATACTGTAGTTTTGTACATAAAATATATATTCTGCCTGTAAATATAATTCTTTATGTACTTTCAGTAATTACCACAATATTAAATATTATATGTTGTGGCCATATCTGTTTACAATAAGAACAAGATACGCTTGAGTCTTTCCTTCTGTAAATTGAGTAGATTCCCTCACTCCCATTTCAACGCAAAGCAAAGTTTCAAGTTATTGTATTCATAAATGACTAATCTCCTTATTAAGACTAACTAAACTGGTACAAAAATGTCCACCACATTCTTCCAAAAGTTTTTCTAAAGCAAAATGTGACAAAAACCAAGGAATGGGGAAGAAGCAGGACACTCCAAAACTTCTTGCAACTAAGATAAGATTTTGTCTCCATGAGGTCTGCAACTGAGATTTGGACTTAAAACAGAACCTATTTGTGAGCAACAGGTGCAATATATTCTGAGTTTCAGCTACTATCCTAGGACATTTTTGGAGTGGTTTTCTTACTTGTTCTCTGCTTCTTGTAACATCCTACCTTGATGCAGATTTCTGCAACTTCTTCTGCATCATTTGATAATATCAGAAGTATCATTACCATAATGTGGATTCCTGTTGTTTTTCCCCCCCCCNGACTTTCCCAGAAAAAGGCATTATTATTACTAGCCTTTATCTAACACTGATGAGGCAAAGAATGTGATTTGCTCATTTCTGCAAAGAAATCTGCTCTTTGCAGGGGTGGACCAAGAACATGGAACACAATGATCCTTGATTATAGTTTTCCAGGTTCTTGACATCTTTTTAAAAACAACCGCTGAAGGTTCAGGTTGATTGCATCCCACACATTGAGTAATTGTGGTGGGAATACACCTTGAAAGAAAATTATTGGGTAATTAAAGAAGGTTTGCCTCACATAAATCATTGGGTGATCCAGCTCAATACCATCTGCAGTGGGACTAGTTTCATGCAGCTGTCCCAATTGCTTCCTTGAGCAGTAAGAACTGAGCCTGGACCCATATACTCCTCAGATAGTAGATCTTTTCGGAGACCTACTATCTGAGGAGAAAAAGTTGTTTTCTCCATACATATAAGCACCTACCACAGATGCTGATGCCGTTGTTTTTCTGCATTGATAAAGGTTTATTTTATTGGACTTTTGAGATTGCTCCCAACTGGCCTTTATTTTGAGGGAATATTGAAACTCTGCAGAAAATGTTTCATTTTGTTTTATTTGTTACTTGTTATATTCCACTTATGCACAAGGCGTGTACAGAATAGTCATCACTATCACTCCATTTTGGCTTTGCAACAACCCTTTTAGGACCAAGTAGCTGGTGAAAGTTACCTAAAGTGTTCTTGGGCTAAGTAGATCTTTGAAGATGACTGTAATCCAACGCTCTAATTGTAGCACATGTAACAATTTCCTGTTAATTTCAACTATGAACTATGGTTGAAGAATAATAGTATCTTTACCTTTAGAAACCCTGGATCTCTTCAGACTCTTTCCAGCCTCTTTGTTCTCCTTTCAGTTAGAACTAGCTGATAACCCGGCGTTGCCTGTCGTATTTATNCCCCCCCCCGGATAGGCCAACACGATTATTATGTCTTTAAAACTATTATATTGTATGTAGCTCTGCAATATGTTTTGTGCAGTGGTGGGGGAGAGCATTTTTACAAGGCAAAAATCATTGCAATGCAGCCTGAACCTAAGGAAAGGAGGAGGAATATATAGTATGTATATATCAGGGATCAGCAACCTTAAACACTCAAAGAGCCACAAAGGTTCTAATCAGAAGCCCCCTGGTCAATTCTGAATGCAACAGGAAGTCCGGTTCCCCCACCAGTGTCTCCTCCTAGCACAGCGTCCTTTTTCCTCTACCTGTCCTAACCGAAAGCCCTATCAGTTGTGGAGCCAACTGGCAAGAGGGAGCCGCAGCAGAAGGATAAAAGAGCCACATACGGCTCCAGAGCCGCAGGTTGCTGATCCCTGGAATATATTGATACTCTTTAATAAAATATATGGGAATCTCATTGGATTTCCTTTATCTACTGGATTTCTACTTCAAATGGCAACTTTGGGGACTATTTTTTACATGAATTTTTAATATTCCCTCATTCCAAACATTCCAAAAGGGGAAATAATAATTTCAGAATAACAAAATTCATGATACCACCTTCTGCTACCATGACTACATTGCATAAGCGCAATGTTCAGAAAAGATTCTAGGAACCATCACCCTGTCAGTCTTTATCAAGCATTTTTCCCTGGAAAATTGTCCTCTCCTTTTAATCCTGCATATGATCAGAAGCTGCATTTGCTGCAGCAATCTAGAAATGTAATAAGCAAATGATTGTGTCAAAATTCCTTTTCTGGCTGCTTCCATTAAGGATGCAAAAGTATAATTTGGCAGGAAGAAAAAATGTGTTCTTCTGCAGTATTTTATCAGAGATACATTTGTGCTTAATTAACACAGGGGTAAGACACAAATAAAC